TCTCTGTCCCCACTTTTCACTTAATTTCCCTGTCCCCATTCTCAAGATAGGGACCACCTCTACTTTCCCACCCTCCCCTCACCCCTGCCAAGGACTATGGGGCCCCCTAACATCACCCTCTCGTCCCCATCAGCTCCCAGGAGCTTTGCAGATCGTGCTGGTCTCCCTTTTCTCCCCCACCAGCCCTACTTCTCTCCTCTCTGTCTGAGAGATCAGTCATAGAGGGTGTCGACACGCACACACCCGACTCCCTGGGGAGGATGGGGAGCACGGAGCTGGGGGTGGCGTTCTGCCGCAAGAAGGCAAAGCTGCCATCAGCAAGCGCTTTGATCTACAGACAATTACAGACGAGTGTAGGACCTCGCTCCGCTCAGCCAATAAATAATGGAATTTGTGTGTTGACACAGACAGATTTCCCCCAAACTGTCAGCGAAGGGGAGACAGAGTGAGTGAACAGGAGCCTGAGAGGCTGGAGGGGAGAGGAGTGAGCAGGGACAAGGAAGGCCTGTGGGAAAACAGGGAGAGGGGGCAAGGGAGAGGAAAAAAGAAGTTTGGGGAGGCAATGCTGATGGGGGAAGCCAGGCATGGAGAAGGAGCCTAAGGAACACATATTTGTAGAGGGGAAGGAAAATCAAGACAGGAACTGTGGGTGGAAAGAGGGGAGGGAGTGCTGCATACGCAGGAGGCTGGAAGCAGAGGGAAATAAAAAAAAATAAATCTGAAGGTGGAAAAGAAAGAGAAGGAGGAACAAAGGCATGGCAGTGCCCCCCGGGCTCCCTGGCAGATCACACGCTCTCCAAGCAGGGACTGTATTCCCGCAGCCCTCCGCAGAGCGGCCCTGAGCACCCCCCGCCCAGCACCAGGGAGGCACGCGTGAGTTGGTGAAATGATGCCTCCGGTGCGCAGCCAACGGCAGAAATGTGCTCAGAGATCACAAGTCCCCGAAAAACCTCCTGCGGACTGCCCGTCCCCACACTCCCCCCGCTCCTCCCCATCTCACCCTCTCCCTGATCCATCTCCAGCCTGAAGCTGTTTGTTCTCTGGCTGATGATGGTTTTTTATTTCACTTGCGACAAAGAAATACCTCCCTTTTGCTTGGGAGCCCCACCAGCGAACCCAGCAGAAACTACTCATCCATCCAGCAACCCCCCAGCCCAACCTGGCTGCAGCAGCAGTTTCAACAGGAATGGGGGGAGCCACTGGGGACGTTTCCCTCCTCCCAGTTTGGAGCACTCCAGGGCGCCATGTGGTCCCTCTTGGCCCCACCTGTGGCCCAATTTGCTGAGGTCCCCAGCACTGCCTTGCTGTAGGTGTCCCCCGCTCCTTGCTTGGCCCTTTTTGAAAAAAGATTCCCATCCAAGCTCCAGATGGGAAGCAATCCCCTCCCAGCTCAGTGACCCTCCTGCCCCACCAAGTCTCTACCTTCCTCTACCTCAGGCTCCCATCCCTTCCCGCTCCCTTCTGCAGCAACACCAGCTCCAAAGAGGGGCTGGACCTTTGCCCTTGCACAGATCAGGCCTCTTCCCTGGGGACACCTTGTCCCGCCGCATGAGGAAAGCAGGACCAGTTACACAATGGGCCAAGGGTTGACTGACTGGGGTGGCACTTCATAAACAGGGCATCCACAAAACTGGGAAGGGGGTAGAAATACCGGTTCCAGGGTTGCGTGGGTCGGTGCTGTAGCCAAAAATCATCTGATAGGGCGTGGAAGATCCAGGATCCTCACAGCCTGTCCCCGGCAGAACCAGAGTGATTCAGTAACAGGCAGGTGTTCCAGGGATATTGCCTGTGGATGTTGTTTAGCTTCATGATGGCAAACGGCAAGAGTGGCTGCCTAACTGGGGCAGCAGTAGCTTATGGCCTCAGCAGTGGGAGGACTGGAGCTCCTGCCAAGCTCTTAAACCTCTCTTTTGGGAGGGCGGGATGTAAAGCTGGTGTAAATTGCTAAAAAAAGCCAGGTCTTTTTGCTAATAAAGTCACTGAAGCAGGTAATGGTTCAGCTAGCCAAGGCAGAACAACACACAGGGCAAGGCTGGGACCCCTTCTTCTCCAGAATCCCTCCAGGTCCCTGATCCCAGTCATTTTACTGGGACGATGGGAATGCTGGGCTGGATCCAGCTGCTGCTGCTTTAGTCCTGAGCTGAACCTGAAAAGAACAAAGGGAAGGTGGGACAGCAGGAGAGGGCAGGGTTGAAGGGGTTGCCTAACAGCCTCCCAGGTCCTTCTGAAGGAAGGAAAGGGCTTGCTGAGTGGTGGTGCTCAGCCCCTCCATGAGGCTTCAGCCCTCCCTCCCAGGATGAGGCTGGAGAAGAAGACAGCTCAGAAAGAAGAAAGTGGTGGGGGCAAGATAGGTTTGTGTTTTCTCTAGGGCCTGCTGTCATGCCTGAGTGCTTCTCCGATTGCTGCCATCAACATTTAATGGGATGGAGCTGCAGCAGTCCAGCTCGGGCCGAGCATGGTTCCCAGACTGGCTGAGAGCGAGTAGGTACAGGCAGGTCTGCTCACCCAAGAGATCCCTCCCCCAAGTCTTCAGAGTTGCAAGTCACAAGGAACTGCTCTGTGGCCACGGCAGACCTTGCACCCTCTGCCCAGGGGCCAAAACCAAGCACCTAGCTGGCTCCAGGCCCCTCAAAACACTTTCATGGTGAGACCAGGCAGGATACCCCAACCTGGTTGTGGAAACCATGAGAAATGCCCCTCCTTACTCCACCAGATACCAGTTTTAACTCAGGGAAGAGCTTTTGGCAAGAGTGAGGTGGGAATCAGCAGGCACAGGGGACCCCAGGCCTGTTTGCTGGTGGGGGAAAGGAGAGCTGCAGAGCTGGGGCCTCCCTCTCCCCAAGGAAAACCCCACGCCCTAACCCACAGTGGGCACATCAAGCCTTACAACGCAGCATGGAGACAGTGAACACAAAGTCACCGAGAACCCTCTGCTCCAGTACGGAGGACAGTGAGCAAAGGGTTAACACCCCACAGCGGAGCTAAAGCAGCAGTGGGAGCAGTGGGTTAACGTGGCGGGTGCAGGGAATATTATCTGCCTCTTCTCTAAATATTATTTCCTCCCATGAAACCAGCTTTTCATCCTTGGCTAGAGGCAGCTCCCGCTGCTGCCGGGAATCCAG